GCTCACCTCGTGCAGAATGCAAGCCATCCCTCCTTACTTATGTTTTCTCTGGGCTCCCAGATGAGGGGGTAGATGTAGAGAATGTTGGCTCTTTGATGGGCTGCCTCTTTTATGAGGATTGCCAGCCTGAGTTTGTTGCTGAGATGTATAGGACGCCAGTGTGGAGGAAGAACCAGCGCCATCTTGCCTGTGCCCCTGTGAAAAGAAGGCTGTCAGTTCTTGTGGCCAGCGCTCTTCTCTCTTCCACCTGGTCATGATCCCAAGATAGCAAGGGATTAAAGTGCTGTGTTGGGGTGAAAAAAAGTGTATCTGTGGGTCTTCAGTGTGCTGCTGTGTTCCTGTGTGGACCGGAGCTCTGATTTCAGGCAGAAATCTTGGATTGCGGCAAACTCCGTCCCTAGGTGCTCGATTTTACACACCTGTGGCCATGGAGATGATTGGAACACCTAAATCCAATGAATTGCCGGGGTGTCCCAATACTTTTGGCAGTATAGTGTATGAGTTACCACAGGGGTTCACAAGATCAAGGATTATAAGAAAAAATGATCAATAACTTCTGTTTGTTTGTTCATCCTTAAGTTGGCCATACACTGTTAGACTTTTTTTTAATGGGCTGACATAATAATTTCTACCTTTTTTCTTCCTCAGAGTTCTCATTAAATATTTTCCCGGTCTATCTCCCCATCTATATCTTTCTCCCGTGATTTTATGAAAAATTCTCGTTTTTTCTTCCTCCAATACTTTCTCTAATTCTTCCCTCTTTTTTATCATTTTTTCTTCTATCTCTTTCATTATATTACTTTTATGTAGGAGTTCCAACTCAGCTATTTCCTTTAAAAGCTTGCTAATCCTTTCTCTCCTTTCCCTTTTCTTCTTTGCCCCAATCGCAATTAGGATTCCTCTGATGTATACTTTATGCGCCTCCCATACTGTAGCCCTTGATACGTCTCCCGTTTCATTTTCCTCAAAGAATCTCCCTATCTCCTCCCTAATTTTCCGTTCAGTATCTTGATCCATGAGAAGTGCCTCGTTCAGCCTCCATGACAGTCCTCCCGACAACCTCCCTCCCCATCTTAATTTTAATGCAACGGGGGCATGATCCGAAATGGTCATTACTTCTATCTTAACACTAGACAAATCTTCGATGAGACGATGGTCTATCAATACATATTCTAATCTGGAGTATGTTTTGTGAGCGTTAGAATAAAAAGGTATAGTCTCTGTTTCTGTTATTTGCTATTCTCCAGCTATCCACCAATTGGCTCTCTCTCATCACCTTCTTCAATATTCTCATCGACTTGTTTCCCTCTCTCGGCACTGTAGAAGTTGTGTCTATTTGTGGGTCCATACATAGGTTGAAGTCTCCTGCCACTATTAAATATCCCTTAGAGAAGTCCATCAATTTCTTCAGAACCCCTTTCAAAAACATCTCTGGTTTCCTATTAGGGCAGTATATACAGTTGCAAGAAAAAGTATGTGAACCCCTTGGGATTACGTGGAGTTTTGCATGAATTCGGCATAAAATGTGCTCTGAACGTCATCTAAGTCACAACAATAGAAGAACACAGTCTGCTGAACATAATACTACACAAACATTAGATGTTGCCATGGTTTAATTGCACATAACATGTAAACATTCACAGTGCAGGGAGGAAAAAAGTATGTGAGGCCCTAGCTTAATGACTTCTCTCCAGAGCTAATTGGAGCCAGGAGTGAGCCAACCTTGACTCCAATCAGTGTGATGATATTGGATGTGTTGCTGACAGCTGTCCTGCCCTTAAAAAAACACACACTTGTTTTATGTTTACTGGTTTCAAGAAGCACTGTCTGATGTGAACCATGCCTCGCAGATAAAAGAGCTCTCAGAAGACCTACGATCAAGAATTGTTGACTTGCATGAAGCTGGAAAGGGTTACAAAAGTATCTCCAAAAGCCTTGTTCATGTGTCCACAGTAAGACAGACTGTCTACAAATGGAGAAAGTTTAGCACTGTTGCTACTCTCCCTAGGCGCGGTCGTCCTGTAAAAATGACTGCAAGAGCACAGCGCAGAATGCTGCATGAGGTAAAGAAGAATCCAGAGTGTCAGCTAAAGACCTACAGAAATCTCTGGCACATGCTAACATTTTTGTTGAACATCTACAATAAGGAAAACATGAAACAAGAATGGAGTACATGGGAGGACACCAGAGGAAGCCATTGCTGTCCAAAAAGAATATTGCAGCACGTTTGAAGTTTGCAAAAGAGCACCTGGATGTTCCACAGCACTACTGGCAAAATATACTGTGGACAGATGAAACCAAGATTGAGTTGTTTGGGGAAGAACACACAACACTATGTGTGGAGAAAAAAAAGGCACAGCACACAACAACATCAAAACCTCATCCCCACTGTAAAACATGGCGGAGGGAGCATCATGGTTTGGGGCTGCTTTGCTGCCTCAGGGCCTGGACGGATCATTGATGGGAAAATGAATTCCAGAGTTTATCAAGACATTTTGCAGGAAAACGTACGACCATCTGTCCGCCAACTGAAGCTCTGGGTGATGCAACAGGACAATGACCCAAAGCATACAAGTCATTCAACAAAACAATGGCTGCAACAGCACAGAATACGCCTTCTGGAGTGGCCCAGTCAGAGTCCTGACCTCAACCCGACTGAAATGCTGTGGCATGACTTTGAGAGCGATTCACACCAGACATCCCAAGAATATTGCTACACTGAAACAGTTTTGTGAAGAGGAGTGGTCCAAAATGACCCCAGATCGTTGTGCAGGTCTGATCTGCAACTACAGGAAACGTTTGGTTGAGGTTATTGCTGCCAAAGGAGGGTCAACAAGTTATTAAGTCCAAAGGTTCACATACTTTTTCCTCCCTGCACTGTGAATGTTTACATGTTATGTGCAATTAAACCATGGCAACATCTAATTTTGTGTAGTATTATGTTCAGCAGACTGTGTTCTTCTATTGTTGTGACTTAGATGATGTTCAGAGCACATTTTATGCCCAATTCATGCAAAACTCCATTCCCAAGGGGTTCACATACTTTTTCTTGCAACTGTATTTGCCAGCGTACACTCGATATCCTGCAATTTGCCTTTCAAAAACAGAAACCTCCCATCCGGATCGGTATTCCTATCTTCTAGTTCAAACCTAACATTTTTTGCAAATCCTATAGCCACCCCCTTCGCTCTCTTAATTGGGGAATCCGCATAATACCAGATCGGATGGTATCTAGATTTCAGCTTAAGATTTTTTTTTAACTCGAGGTGCGTTTCTTGCAAGAATACCACTGAGGCCGCTCTATGCTGTAGTTCTCTAAATAACCTAAATCTTTTACTTGGACAGTTCAACCCATTTACATTATGAGTTATGAACTGTATTTCCTCCATATTTTGTCTATTTATCATCTTTCTATTTTACCATCTCCTTTCTTCCTTCTTCCATTTCCCTCTATCTCTTCTTTTATGCCAGATGTCAGTTTTAAAAAAAACCCTCTCCCCCCCCTTCCCAATTCCCTCCCCTTCCAATTCCCTCCCTCCCTTCCACTTTAGGCCTGTAACTTGCCTTCCCCCCTCCTCCTCCCTCCCTCCCACCCATTTTAGGCTTGTAGTTTGCCTATAAATCTGTTGAGGATCTAAACCCTTCATAGATTTTGGCTGACATAATAATAATAAAAAAAAACAGATTTCTCCATATACACAAATAAGGTGCATGGAGGAATTCCCCCCCCCCCCCCCCCCCCCCCCCCTTTCACTGGGACATTGTATTCCAATAGCGGGACATGCCACTGTCAGAAAACATTTATCAGCAGCTACAGCCACTGCTCAGCAAGAGTTTCCCAGCATGTGCCTTCTAGAGACGTCAATCAAACGATTGACTTCTGGCAAGCAGGGGTGGCCACATACTGTCTGAAATTCATCTGGTCTCTACTAAATTTCCACATTTTGATCAGTGTATAGCCAGTTTCAAGGTTGAAGTCTAGGTATGATCTTTATTGCATAGTTACCTTGGTCCAGTTTGGACCAAGGTAAATATACATATCTCATATCTGGGAGACTGCTGTGGGAGCTGACAACCTTGTAGTAGTTGACACCACTACAGTGATTGCCACAATCTTCTGGGGAGCTGACAACCTTGTAGTAGTTGGCACCACTACAGTGATCGCCACAATCTTCTGGGTACTGTGCTAGGTGGCTTCTTTTCAACATAGTGACTACAGTGGTTGCTTGCTTGCCACTGCTGCCATTCACAGAAGGCTTTTATTTTTTCAATGAATATATGGTGTTCTCTGATTAGACGATATGTAGATCGTAATGTCACTGTCCCATTACTGTGCCTCATCCAATCAGAAAATGTATTTTATTCATTTAAAAAAAATACAAGACATTTTATGAATGTTGGCAGCGCGAAATCAATGGTCCCCTGTTGTCAGTGTGCAGAATGCAGGCTGCTCAGCACAAGACCTAAAAGAATGTGGCAATCACTGTAGGAATGTTGATTGTCATCTTGTTGGACCAATGTAAAGATGCAATAAAGATAATATCTGGAGTTCAGCTTTAACTGACCAAAGTAATCATACTGTCAGATCCTTTTGGGAAAAATAGAACAAGCATAATTCAGCATGTCCATTCCAGGCCCCCAAGTGGAATCTCTGTGAAAATACAGTGAGATTGTGTCTCTCAGATGGGTAGCAGCAATGTCAGCTGACAGCAGAGTGCCTTCTATTGTGGACAGACCTAAGGTAGAGCTCTCAATTCAAAGTTCCTAGATAGTTCTAGGTGGATCCCTCCTTTAGGTATCCATTGTGACCAGTAGCAAATGTTCAAATTTTGTGATGTGTGTAGTATTAATAATATGTAATACTTTTTCTACTACTTACACAAAGCCTTTAGGCTATCTGCAGTTATTATGGAACAATATATTACGCAGTAAATGTCAACACATTCAGGGGAACAAATGCCTAATTAATACTTTTTTTTTTTTTTTTTTTTTTTTTGTAGACCTCCCCCACAAAGAAGCCCAGAGCGTAACAGACATAGACAAGATTATTATCACAATAACAATGACTTCCATAGAGACTCAAGAAGGTCAACACACTGGGAGAGTGATCAGCATAGGCAGAACAATTCTAGATTTGATTCCTACAGTCACTTTAGTGATAATTTGTTTGAACAAGGTACATTTGACACCAATCAAAGAAGATCCCCATTCGAGGCAAACAGTCGACTGAAGAGAGTGTACTCTCCCGAGCGAAGGGGAGAAAGCAATAGAAGATTCCCCACAAAACCTGAAGAAACAAATTGCAGAGAGAATACAAGAAACTTCCATAACCACAGAAATCATGAAAGAAATGGTGATAATCCCAATGTACATAACAATGGTTTTAAAACAGGAAGACGTGAGGACAACTTTCAGAGACCATACAACAGAGACCATAATAAGAACTGGCATGAAAGTGATGGCTATTGGAATCAGCATGATCCAACAAACCAGTATTTGTCTCCTCATAGAAGAAGACCCGAAGAACATGAACGAAAGTCATTTCAGAAGAGGTAACATATGCACATGATATTTCCTTCTAGCCATATTTACTCAAATATAGACACTGAATTATCTTTGTTAATTCTGCTCACAAATGTAATGATGGTTTGTGTAAATAGGTATCCTGAGGATGATTACAGAGAACATGAACCACTTCATAAGAGAGCCAGAGAAGCTGAGCGACATGACTTTCGACCACCTCAGAAAAGCTCCTACTGGAAAGATGACCATCCAGAAAAATCATATTATTCCAAAGAGTGGTCAAAGGACATGGATTACAGAGATCCTACTTCAATTGCTCAGGAGAAGCATTCAGGAGCCTTAACCAAAATCGAATATGACTATGGTCATAGATCACCATCATATGTATATACTGAGCAAACATCGGAAGATGGACATGTCGAAAGGCACAGCCATGTTGAGAGGCACAATCGGCATGAAGAGAGAAAAAATGAATCTACCAAGACTTCTCAATACTACAAGACATCAGATAGTAGTAGCAGGGAAAGGAGGAGGCATGATGATAGGTCTTTGGAGACAGTGTCTAAATACAGTTCAAAAAAACATGACAATAATACAGTTTCCAAAAATGATATTGACGTGAAGCACACAAGTCATAAGCACAAGGAAAAGATGAGAAAAGAAGGTGATTACCAGGGGAGAAAAGAATACCAGAAGGATCCAATTTCTCTACTCCATCTGAGAAGCCAAAGTCCCCAAACTCCAGACCCAAAAGGTGTATTGAAGATTACATCTGAAAAAGAATCTATCGTTGTTAATTTGGATTTGAAGAAATCATCGGATAAGTATAGGTATTTTCGCTTAATCCCATTCTTGATTTTTTTTCTTGGGTTTTATGTGAGGTTGAGGTAAAAGTTCATGCTTCTTTTTCCTGTGAAGACAGGAGAAATATCACAGGTTTTAAAACACCCTGGCACCATGTAAAAATGTTCACACATGGATCAGAATTAAGTGTGTGGTGGCACTGTAGCAGTGAAGCATAGCAATTCTGAGCGATCAACAGAAAGTGGGGTTCATTATATAATAACGAAGCATAATCTGTGTTGAAGAAAACAATCAAGATCAAAAAGTCTTTCAAGCAAGTTAAAATGGAAATCAAGAACTTCTAAATATTTGCTTAAAAGGTCATGCCCGCTTCATACATGACGTGACACACAGATCATATGAACACTCTTCATCCAAGCCTAATATTTTTCACTGAAAACATATTTGGGAATGGCTTACGCGCCCAATGACTTCACACTCCAATTAACCTTTGGAAAGCAGTTTTAGGATTTGATGATTGAATAAATGTTGTTTTTATTCCCCAAAGAAAGGAAGAAATTTTACAAAAGTTTCCATGAGGTGGACTACTGGAAAATAAATTGTAGACTGTGTCAGTCAAATTCTCTCTAATATGTGGAAACTTAGCAAAGTGCTAACATGGTCTTACTCTAAAAACAAGATTCTAACTCTCGCACAGTCATCAATGTTAATTACCTTGTTTATTTTTGGCCGCACCATCAAGTAAGATTTGGATGATGGGCCAAACCATGTCTGAGAAGAAGAAATTGCTGCTTGAAACTCTTTAAACTGACTGAAATCTGCTGATCTTGCCAGTTGTTCTCATATTTGTTGTAACCTTGAATATTTTGGATTACATCAAGTTCGTTATTTAGGCAGATTAGGTAACAAATTGCTGGCATCAAGTGTTGGTCCAATGAGAGCTGCCCATGTTGGAGAAGAGGAACTTGCTTCTTTACACCTTTTCAGGTGCTTGAACTTTGTACAACAAGCTCAAGACCTTATTTGTTCTAGATAAGAGTCTATTGGATTTCAGCAAAAGAGTTAAAGATTTTGTCACAAGTTAAGAAACAGTGAATACCATGATTAAGAGGAACATGTTTACTGAGCACAAGGGAAAGAAAGCCAGATTGAATGAAAATAATCTATCCTTTTGAGTTTTATATTGACTTTGAATCCAATAATAACGTGGAACAAGTTAGACGTCATTTGACTTCACCTCTTTCTATTAATACAAAGTCACAGTCTTTAGATAAGAGAAGATCCATAATGTCACATTTTGTTTGGATATTAAATAAAAATAAAACAATAAAAAATTGTAAGATTTTTAAACTGGAGATCACCATTGGAATACTATTTATATTAATAGTTATTGACCTTATCGCTAAAAAACAAGTCTGCATTGAAAGTCGCATGAAATTTTTCTCACCTCACAAATTTTTGGTAGAGCAGGAAATAATCTAATGTGCCGATCCCACCACCACTGAAACATGTAATCCAAGAAAAATCCTAATATAATGTTTCATAATTGGTTGGCTTCTGTGTTGCTGTGTAAATTTACATCAACAATTTGGATCCTCTTTGTGACCTGAAAGATCAAGAATTGGTGACCAGGTAAGTGGTTGTTTTTGCATTACCATCAAACACCTTACCTTTTTTTTATCATTGAACATAAGTCTGTGTAACTATTATTTAAAGGATTGGTGTCATAGTTTGTCTTATGGAACAAAGCTTTATGGTTTTTATGTTTATCAATGGATTGCAAATCGCTGTGCTGCCATTAAATGGTTTGAAACTGAAATCATGGAATCTTATGGTTATGGTGCTTACCTCCAGTTAGTATCGGATGCACATTTTGGTTGTCGTTATTGCAAAAAGATGACCTGTCTTGAAAATCATGCCTTGAAAATTTTCTGTTGTTTTCAGACCTCTTGCAATTTAAACTGTGAAATTAAGTAAACTAAAGTCCAGTTCTCGTTCCATAGGGGAATAGCTTGTGAGCCAACAACTGCAAAAAACAAAATAATTAGTCTGTTGATAAACACATAACATGGGTTCTTTTTACAATAGTTTTTTTGCTAACCTGAAGTTGTTACATTTCTTTGGCTCTTGACAATATTACAATACTGTAAGCTTTTTTCTATGTCTTCATAACCATATTCTGTATTAACCATCTTCAATTCATAAGCACCTTCTGCAGCACGTTTTTACCCCCGTGCTACAGTTTAGATCCATTATATATTATCCTGTAAACATACACTGTATAATAAAATATGTAGCAGAGTTTCAGATGTCATGGGCTGTGTCTCTTTTCTAGACAGTCTCATGAGCAAAGGAACAAACCCAAATACCTGCCACCACTATCTAACACCACCCAAGGACAGGGGATTTCAGAAGAGAAGCAGATTTTAGTTGGGGATATGCAGAAAAGGTATCACTTAATGTTCTTTTATTATTAGCAGTCAGATTTAGTTTGCTAATCTACATAAAGCAAAAGTGAGTTGAGTGACTCAACATAGATTATTTTAGTATAATCTGAAAGATGGGCTGTTTCAACCAGAGAATAATACATGAAGTATAACTGTGCCCAGGCTATAGATATTCAAGTATTTACATATTCTTAAAGCTTTTCTAAACCCAATAACAAAGAATTAGCATATTGCATCTTGTCAGTCTTTGAAGCAGTATTAAACCCAAAACCAATAATGTATTATATTTGCAGCTTGCCAATCATTAGATGTGGTGGCTGCATCGGTTTTCTTTTCTTAGTTTTATTCTCTCTGTTTTCACTTGGTGATCTGCCCAGTAACACAGCTCCTTTAATATTTTATGAGCCAGGACACAGCAAACCGCAGCATTGTCAGTCAGAGTTGGGGGAATTGTTAAATGTGTTAGCAGATTTGAATACAATAACAAATTGAAGTCAAACTCCAGCTAAGACTTTACAATCAGTTACAGCAAACAGCAAAATTCCTTGTGGGATAAAGGTTTTACATAAATAAAGTTGATTATTTTAATCACCCCTGCTAGTGGTAAATGAAAGGTCTCGTCCATTTAAGCTGATACATTCTGCTGGAGTGCTTGAACTTCTGAAAAAACAGCAGAGTTGCTGGCTGAATCACTAGATGAAAATAGAAGAAAGAAAGCAAAATAAAGGAAACTAGTACAGCCATCATATCTAAGAATTGGTAAGCTGCAATTTAATGTTTGCTTTTGGGTTTAATACTGTTTTAAATATGGTGGCTGCATTAGCTTCTCTTTTTAACTTTTTTCCCTTGTTTTCACCAGGTGATCAGCTCAGTAACACACTTTCTGCCTTAGGGCTAATTCACACCCGCCACTGCATTATGTTGCAGCAGCTGGTGTGTTGTTCAATCTGGCAGGATTGCTGCAGTGCCATCTCTCGGAATATGCTGTTTACTTTTTTTTTTTTTATGATCATTGTTGAAATGTCAGAGAAATTTCATTAAGTTCAGTTGTCAGCCATGCAGTACAAGCCTGTGAATTGCCTTGCGCTACGTTGGGAAAAAGTACTGTATGCAATACTTTTTTTTCCAGCGAACACTGTTCCCACACCACAGGGCACACAAGAATCAAGCATTTTTGCTTTGTCAATTGGTGGTTCTGCGCTGTACTTATGAATGTGTAATACGAAGGCTGTCATTGCTAACAAAGTTGTCTGAAAAAGCTTGTTACCTGACTGTCATATTCAATATTTTCTTGGTCAGTGACCCAAAACAAGTACATAGAACAATTTTGTTTTAAATGGCTTCATACTTGTTTGGGTCAGTTACTCAAAAAGGTATTAAATCAAAGACTGCCAGTTACAGAAAGTTGTTAGCAATGGAAAAAAATGTTTCTCTTTTCCTTTAAAGTGTCAGTTAACCAAAATTGAAATGTTGATATTGGAAAGATGACTGCCGGCTGTATCTCCCCATGGTTTGGAATCTCAGGCTTTCTTCACCTCAGTTCTCAAGTGTGCCCACCTACTGCAGCCATTGAAAGGGTATATCAATACACCTACTGGATATGATTCCAAAGGTTTGCACTTAAAAAGAAAATAATAATAACAAACATGTCATACTTACAGTTGCAAGAAAAAGTATGTGAACCCCTTGGGATTACGTGGAGTTTTGCATGAATTGGGCATAAAATGTGCTCTGAACATCATCTAAGTCACAACAATAGAAGAACACAGTCTGCTGAACATAATACTACACAAACATTAGATGTTTCCATGGTTTAATTGCACATAACATGTAAACATTCACAGTGCAGGGAGGAAAAAGTATGTGAGGCCCTAGCTTAATGACTTCTCCCAGAGCTAATTGGAGCCAGGAGTGAGCCAACCTTGACTCCAATCAGTGTGATGATGAATTGGATGTGTTGCTGACAGCTGTCCTGCCCTTAAAAAACACACACCTGTTTTGGGTTTTACTGGTTTCAAGAAGCACTGTCTGATGTGAACCATGCCTCACAGAAAAGAGCTCTCAGAAGACCTACGATCAAGAATTGTTGACTTGCATGAAGCTGGAAAGGGTTACAAAAGTATCTCCAAAAGCCTTGATGTTCATGTGTCCACGGTAAGACAGACTGTCTACAAATGGAGAAAGTTTAGCACTGTTGCTACTCTCCCTAGGCGTCGTCCTGTAAAAATGACTGCAAGAGCACAGCGCAGAATGCTGCATGAGGTAAAGAAGAATCCCAGAGTGTCAGCTAAAGACCTACAGAAATCTCTGGCAGATGCTAACATTTTTGTTGACACATCTACAATAAGGAAAACATTAAACAAGAATGGAGTACATGGGAGGACACCACGGAGGAAGCCATTGCTGTCCAAAAGAAGATTGCAGCACGTTTGAAGTTTGCAAAAGAGCACCTGGATGTTCCACAGCACTACTGGCAAAATATACTGTGGACAGATGAAACCAAGATTGAGTTGTTTGGGAAGAACACACAACACTATGTGTGGAGAAAAAAAGGCACAGCACACCAACATCAAAACCTCATCCCCACTGTAAAAAAATGGCGGAGGGAGCATCATGGTTTGGGGCTGCTTTGCTGCCACAGGGCCTGGACGGATTGTTGTCATTGATGGGAAAATGAATTCCAGAGTTTATCAAGACATTATGCAGGAAAACGTACAACCATCTGTCCGCCAACTGAAGCTCCGCAGAGGATGGGTGATGCAACAGGACAATGACCCAAAGCATACAAGTAATTCAACAAAACAATGGCTGCAACAGCACAGAATACGCCTTCTGGAGTGGCCCAGTCAGAGTCTTGACCTCAACCCGATTGAAATGCTGTGGCATGACATTAAGAGAGCGATTCACAAACAGTTTTGTGAAGAGGAGTGGTCCAAAATGACTCCAGATCGTTGTGCAGCTCTGATCTGCAACTACAGGAAACGTTTGGTTGAGGTTATTGCTGCCAAAGGAGGGTCAAGCAGTTATTAAGTCCAAAGGTTCACATACTTTTTCCTCCCTGCACTGTGAATTTTTACATGTTATGTGCAATTAAACCATGGCAACATCTAATGTTTGTGTGTATTATGTTCAGCAGACTGTGTTCTTCTATTGTTGTGACTTAGATGACGTTCAGAGCACATCCCAATTCATGCAAAACTCCACGTAATCCAAAGGGGTTCACATACCTTGCAACTGTACCTGCTGTGTGCAGTGGTTTTACACAGACCAGCTCAGATACTCCTCTTCTCGGGCCCCCTGTCGGCACTCCTGGCCCCTCCCTCCTGTTGGGTGCCCCCACATCAATCGGCTTGCTATGCAGGCACCTAAGCATGCGCACTCCCCAGCCACTGCTCTGTTTGTCCATGGCTAGGCCCTGCCCTCTCTCTCTTCTCATTGGCTCACTGGCTGTGATTGACAGCAGCTGGAGCCAATGGTTACTGTCTCAGCCAATGAGGAGAGGTAGTCCTGGTTTAGCTGAACTCCAGTGCACATCGCTGGATCAAGAGGGGGCTTAGGTGAGTATTAGAGGGGGCTGGGGAGCTGCTGCGCACACAAGGTTTTTTTTAACCTTCATGCAACCACTTTAAGGAGAGCGCAACAGCAGAATTGTAGCTCCATAGGGAAGGGGCCTAGTCCCGAAAACTATGGACAATATTGTTTGGCGCCCTGTACTGAATCCAAGGCTGATGCTCTTTTCCAGCCACCATCTATAGGTAAGTGATCCATTTTGGGTTAATTGGTCATAGCTACTGCTGGCAAATATGCATCTTTTCAGAGTTTTACGCTTACCTTAGTATGGAACGATTACCAAAACTAAGTTTGGAGTTTCTAATCTAATTTTCACCTTTTACAGGAGCAATTCTACAACCAAGGACAGACAGCTGTCTCATGATCTTGTAGCTGTTGCTGGAAAAGAGGCGTTCCATCCAGTGTTTGAACACCTAGAGTCTTCATTGCAGGGTGGCATTAATGCAACAAATTCTGAATTTACTCAGAAAATTATAACCATCATTCACGAAGTCAAAGGTAAGGGGGCATATCCTTAGAGTCAAATTTTTTTTTTCAACTACTTGAGTCCAGGGTGCTATTTTAAAATGGTCCTGGGACAGTGGTTGTTTGTCCCAACTGCAATTTTAAAACTAGCTAGCACTGGAAGCGCCATTTGCCAGTGACAACTGAGGTTTAGCATTAAGCCCAGGAGCTTTTAGTGGGCTTTGTAAAAGCAACTGTGTTTACAATAGGAGTGTAGTGACATCACTGCATTTCCTCCCTACAAGAGTAGATCACTATTACAAGTGATTTGCTTCTGCACACAATCCCTAGATCACAACAGTAATGTCAGATGATCTGGGTGACACGTGCACTTACTGAGAAAGCATTAAATGCTCACATAATTGAGCACAGTTTAGTTGATTTACTGAAAACAAACATACTGTTCACTTTGCAAGTGAATTTTTCCCTGCGTTTAGTGAATCAGGTAAAGCTCTGCTGACTTCCATCACCCAATCACCCTGTTTTGTTTTTGTTTTTTTTTATCTTTGATTTTACTGGCATGTGATTGGGTATTGGGCAAAGTGAAATTTCACCACATATACTAAGCTGTAAGGAAAATTCCCTTGCAAAGTGTAACTTCACTTACAAAGTTAACAGCCTGTTTGCCTTTAGAAAATCAAACTCAATGACTCTTCTAACAATGTAGCAAACTATTTTTTTCCTCTGTGTGCGTTGCCGCAGGGAATAAAGCTCTCCAAAAGTAAATTTCATACATTCACAGATGTTCACACATTGTTCAGTTTTGAATGTACTTCCTCTGCATAGTTCTTGAAATGAAAATGCATTAGTTTCTAATTTTCAGCTCTAAAAATATATGTATCCAAAATTGCTATAAAGTCAAGTTCATATGTCCCCGTGGCCATTGCCAAAAAAAAAAAAAAGAAACACTCTGGGACTCAAGAAATTTAGGGAGAAAATGACACAATGATTTAAGTGGTTAAATATGGCTTCAAAATTGTTAGTGTTAGTTCACCTTTACAGAAAAAATGTAAAGTTGAACCTCTGGGGATGCTGTGCTGTCAGTGCCCACACAGCCATTCCAACAAGCCATGGATTTTAAATCTCCACTGTTCTCCTTCTGCTCTGTGCAGTGCTTCCTGGGACAGACCAGAGCAAATCTGATGGTCAGTGCCATCACAGGTCATCGCTGTGATCTGTCTCAGAAGTGTTGCTCAGAGAGGAGTGAAAACTGCAGGGATTTCAAATCTCTGGACCGACTGCATGGTTTCTGACAGCTCAGCATTCCCTGAGGTACGTGCACCAGAGACTGAGAGGGCGGGATGGGTGCCTGGTGCTTTAGTATATATATCTGTCCATGAAAGAGCAGATGGGGTTTTGAGGAATGATTTAAGGATGATCTGAGAGAGATATCACAGAGACCAAACATGTAAAACCATTTAATGCTTCCATCATGCGTGCATCTAAGAACAGGTTTGAGCCTTTAAAATAGCTTGTGATACAACTATAAAGATTTATAGAGCCTTTCAAATGCTGAATAGGCTATGTGTAGCTTGTGGAAATATTAAAGGTAACTTTGCTCATTTTCTTAAAAGAGAAGTATGGGAATATAAAAAAAAAATAAAAAATCATACTCATCGAGATGGCTGCAGCACCAATCTCAGCTGCAGCTGTCCCTTGCCTGCCCTATCCCAAGAACTGAGCAATCAAACACTGCTGATCTCTCATTTCTCCCACTCCTCTCTGAGCTGAGAGCCTTGACTGTCAATCTCTGGCTCTCTGCTCTGCGCCTCCATCACTCACTGGAGAGCTGGGCTGTGGAGGGGGTGGGAAGGGCTGGCTCAGGCTGTCAGCAGCAGCTGAGATTGGTGCTGCAGCCATCTTGATGAGTATGATTTTTTTTTTGAGCCAGCTGCCGGTCCAGGCATCTGGGTGGATCCCGACTGTAAAATCAAAATCTCCCGAGCCTGGATAGGCTAAGTGGCGTTAACCAACAGCGGACTTTGGAACAAAATGCACTCCTGTGATCCGTTGAAGTATAACCAAATAGCTTCGGCTCTGCTTCTTCTTTATAGTGGTTGTAAACCCTTACATATACCCAATGAAGTGATTAGTCTCTGGCGATACACAGAGATGAAACAAATCCTCCTACTCATCCTCTTTGTACCTGTCTGGCTGCCATCTTCTCTTATCTACATGGTGCTGAATTTTAAAGCTTGTCTGAGAGTTCAGGAAAAGGGGGGCAGAGAGCTGAAATCCCACACTGCAGATCTCAGTGAGGAGAGCTCTGAAGCTGATTGGAGGGAAGGCACACCCCCCCCCCCTTCACACAGACCACAGGAACAGAGCTGAGGCTGTCAATCTGCTGAGCGTCCCTCCCCTGTCACAGTTTTTTTTCATGGTGTCAAGAAGATGTGTCAGAAGCGATTAATGCTGATAGCAGAGGAATGAAGCAGCAGACAGAAATTGCACTTAGTGTGCTTAATTGAGACAAGTACACACTATAGAGGGATATGCTTTGTTCATATTTCATGTTTGAGGTTTACAACCACTGTAGCCTCCCTGGCGGTATTCCGGAGTGTAGCTTGGGGTAAAGTTTCAACTACACTCCGGTTTACCATGCGGCGCTGCTCCACGATCCCTCGGTCACTTACCTTGTCCTGCGCTCCCGCGATGTCCCTCCTGCAGTGTCCCCGGCAATGTAATCCGGCGGATGCCGGCATCTGTCATCTGGGTTCCATCCTCTGCGATCGTCGGGATGTATGGCGGATGGAACAGCAGGAAATTTGAAAATGACAAAAAGTGACATTCACAAAAATCACTAAAATCACATAGTAAAACATTACTGTACCAAACCATTTCACATACATTTTGTCCCTTGTGCTTTGTCCTGTGCCCTGTCTGCATTTTTACTGTTCTTTCTGCCTGGAAACTGAGAAATGTCCATGGCGTCCAAAAAGCGTCCCTTTAGGTCAAAAGCGGTTTTAGACCAGCTAGAGAACAGCGATAGTAAATTAGAACCACTTGCAGAATTGAGTGATAATGATTCGTGGGGAAATTCGTCATCAGACACTGAAAACGATTTTGCGACTTTGCTCAGTGATGTGCAAACTTGGCACTATATTTCAAATTTCAGTGTTTTTGGTCTGATTATATTATTGAATTAAATTTATTATTATTATATTATTATTTTTTATGATTATTTATTAAATTATAATTTATGATTTCGTGTTTCACGTTTTAACATACCCGGGATGTTTACTAGACTCTTGTTCAGACAGATTTCAGTGAGTTATTCCTAAGAATTACAGGCCTACAATATAAAACGCCAAATTTTCATGCAAAGTAATGGTAGCGCTTTCAGCACCAAAAATCTGAAATAATCATACCGCCAGGGAGGTTAAGGGTAATGTAGCAGTTTTGCCAAATATTTACCTAAATTTTGATTCCACTGTCTGCTGATTCATTCAAGCCTACAGGTTAGAGATTATGCCTACTCCAAAATTAGAAGATATGCAAACATTTTCATACATTGTCATTTTAGTTGAAATTTTATGGTGTGACACTCAACTTTATTATATAGTGTCACCTCTGATCGGAAGTCCAAATTCAAGGATTTTAGTGAGTATTGTGAAAAGAAAATCATATTTGAAATAGGATATACACCAGAGCCTTAAGAAGTAGTAAGAGGAGAAGTGATTGCAACTTTTTTGTGGTCGAGTAACAAGAGTCAGGAAGATTATTTTAGGTTAAAAGTGGAATATTTGGGTCAGTTGTAAGGCTTTATAGTATCAGTAAAAAAAAAATAACCCCCCCCCCCCCCCCCCAAAAAAAACTGGTAAGCATAAGCTGAAATAATAGAGTAACCAATGTAGTGTTTCCATTTTTATGGAATGAGTCTTAAATGGTAGTAAACCGCGGCTTAAAAAAAAAAAACCCGTGCAAGGTAATTGCATAATGTGCTAGTGTGCATTGCGTACATTATAAAATACTTACCTTAGAACAAAGCCCTCCAGTGCTGATGACAGGGCTTCCATTTTCACCCAATCTTCCTCCCAGGTTCGCGAGCTGCAGCAACTTAGATGGGCGCATGCTCGTGGGAGTCACGGGTCATGGCACATTGCTCTGAAGGAACGGCACAGCTATGAGCATGCGCCAACTTCCAAAATAGCGAATATCTCCTAAACAGTACATCTTTAGGAGATATTCATTTTACCTACAGGTAAGCTTTATTATAGGCTTACCTATAGGTTAACATCAAAAGGGGACTTTACTACTGCTTTAATAGAAAAAAAAGTACTATATGAACCTCCATCTTAGTCAAAGCTTTAAGCCACCTCAGCGAGTAGGACAAAGAGGAAGAAAGACCTGGATAATACCAATTAATAAAGTTAAGTGTCTTTTGGCAACAAAGGTTCAAGGTAGGTTTAAGGTTTTAGTGTTATAAAATATTATAATATATACTATCAATATCTGAATCAAGTAGAAAGATTCCAAAGGACAAATGCCATCATGATAATGTTTCCCATTAATAATTGCCTTGCAAGCCTAGACTGTGATTTTGTCGTAGCAGTGCTGCAGTTTGCTTGCCTTCTACTTTCAATGCTTTCTTACTAATGTCTTTATCCTTCATTGTTCCTCCAAGAAAACAAACATTATCATACAAGTTGAAGTCCCTTATGTAATGTAACCTGATTAGTATGAACTTTGTGTTTGATAGCACAATTAAAATATTCTTTCGGCTACATAGGACCTTGTTTTGAATTTTTTTTTTTTTTGTAATAAATATGGTGCATGAAGTAGAATGTATGAAAGTAATAGAACTGGAGTTCTTGTTTAATGTGTCTTTTGACACCCAAAATGAAAAGAGAAAAAATGTTACATATTGTAGTTTACCAGTCCTTCGATGGTGTGGTTGCATCCGGTATGTTTTAGGCTTTTCACCTGGTGATCATGCCAGTAACACATCTGCTGAGTGACAACCTACAGTATACTCGTACTGTACCTATGAAGGAGCAGCATTGTCACTCCAGGGCAGTACGTGTGCTAGTACTACAGACTCCTCCCCATCTCCTCATCTGCATAACATGGAAAGTTGGAGGAGGTTGTTCTGTGGTTAACAGAATTGGGAGTAATACTAATATCAGCTTATAAGATTTATGGCAACAGGTGTCTTTTGCACTTATCAAACCAATTTAACAAAACACTTTCACTTGTGTATTTACCAGAGCAGGGGAGTAAACATGAGCAGTTTAGTGTTAAATTTTACATGCACTTTAAGACTTTAAGTTTCAGGGTATGCAGAATAATATGTATGAAAAAATTAATTTGTATTTTATTTTTGCTGTTTGATTTGTAGCAAACCATTTCAGGTCAACTGACATGTCGCTGCATGAACGCTTCACCAAACTGCAAGCAGAGAGCAATAAACAGGAATTAAACCTTAATAACTCTACACCACAAATCTATCCGGAGATTCATAGGTAAGCTGGTCTAGTGAACACGCAGCACCATAGTGCCTTGAAACTGAGCTCTGTAATGTCAGCTCTTTATGCACTTAATCCGGCCATAGATGGTTTGAATATTGGCCGATTCAGCATGGACTGGCCGAGATTAGATCCATCTATAGGCAGGCTGATTATACCCAAATCGATCCATCGATCAACTTGGATACAACCAGCATGTTGGATATTCATCATGTGATTATTGCCATCTGCTATAGACGCTAGCAATAATCAATGGGGGGGGGTGAGATTTGCTAAAATGGGAGCATGCAAAATCTGGTTCGGCTCCGCATAGAAACCAATTGGCTTCCAGGCATTATTGTCAAAACTTAGTAGAACAAGCTGAACTTAGAAGCTGATTGGCTACCATGCACAGCTGCACCAGATGCTGAGTGCTCCAGTTTTAGTAAATCCCCCCACAGTGTTCTCCTGGCACTATCCCCCTCACCCCCCCCTCCCCTAGCTAGGGGCTCCACAGGGATTTCCCCCACTAACTGACTGCATTGATGGGAGAATCCAGTAATGCAACCCTAGGTTCCAGGAAAGAAAATTGCATCATATATGCTCTGCCTAAGCCTGTCTTTACTTGTTATTATAAAGTATATGAAATCGTGCTTTGAAAAGTCTTATTTTTGCTAGGGTGGCTGGGATTGTGGCGCAGTGTTCCCCTATTGATAATGCATGCGAAAAATAAATATTTAAAATTGGAATGGAGAGTATGTAATCTGGCACAGTATTTCTCAAACAGCAGCAGTAGTGGCCTGCAAACAGATTGCTGCCAGTCCATAATAACATATCTTGGCAAAAGAAAATGATTTCTATATCTGAAATAAAAATGTTCTGTGAAGTTTTCTGTTTGCAGATGTATTTGCCACATGTGAGATAAATAAAATGTTACTATATTTTAACAGACATGTACAGCTTGAATTACAATAAAAAAAAAAATACTTATAGAGGGGTCATTGAAAATGATCAGTTGAGCCGTAATCTTTGATACACCTCTGTTGCATAAAGAGTTTGTTCATTTCCTACCCATTGTACCTACAGTGATTGTAAACTCTTACATATACCCAGTGAAGTGACTAGCCTCAAGTAATACAATGAGATTAAACAAATCCTCCTTCATAAGTTGTACCTGTCTGTGTGCAGTCTTCTCTTACCTGCAGCCATTCAAAGTGCTAAATTTTAAAGCTTGTCTGAACATTCAGAAAAAAGGAGGCGAGAGCTGAAGTTACAGAGCTGCGAAACTCAGTGAGGAGGACCCTCCACTGTCACCATTTTTCTCTTGGTGTCAAGAAAAGGAGTCAGAAGTGATTCATGCTGATAGTAGATTAACAAAGCAGCAGACAGAAATTACACTTAGTGCTCTTAATTGAGACAAGTACACACTATAGAGGGATATGCTTTGTTCATTTTTCATGTTTAAGGTTTACAACCACATTAACGTTCAGTTGAAAATTACCAATTGATGCCATTCCTGACTGATTTCAAAGAAACAAATTTTGTGAGGTTCAGGGTAGCTAGCTGACCTTTTCTCTCCCTTCAACAATGGTTCCCTAATGTTTTTTAGATGCAGGGTTTTTTTTCAGCTCTGTTGGCTGTCCAGTTGTAGGAGAGACAAAATGAGACAAATACTTGTGTGCCTCCATCTATTCGTTTATTGTAATTATACTTCATTTGGTTGTCTGTATATGATGGATCTTCATAGTGGGGTGAAAAGACATGCACTCCGTGATAATGTAGAGCATATTCCCGGGACATAATGTTTGTGTTAATCCCCAAGTCAATAAAACACAGATTTTAGTTTGGAATGATTACTGGCTTACTCAATAGATAAAGTAAGATCTTAAATTTGATTCTGCAAGGTGACATGTTTGTCAACCCCTTTGGGTTTAATCAAGAAAAACCTGTAAATTGTATATGACATACTTATGCACCCCCGGTTCACATATATGCGGCCGTGCGGGCCGCGTTTTGCACGAGCACGAGAGCCCATTCATTTGAATGGACGCCTGTGACACGCAGGGAAGAAGTCCCTGCACTTGTTTGGAAAATGCAGCCCGCATGGGAACCTCGGTTCCCAGTACGGTTGCGTTTTCCAGTGCGGGCGGCGTGCCATTAGAATTAATGGCACCCGCCCACGGGTCCGCATTTCTCTGTGCGGGTGGTGCGGTTGCACGGATTTTCGTGCGGATCCGCAGTGGCACCACCCGCACAGATGTGAACCTAGGGTAAGTGCTGAGTCTGAGTTGAGTTGATGCCATAAACCAGCTGTTCTGTCTCAGACAGTGATGTGAAAGTATTCATAATCCTACTGTTAGATGTGTACCTTCTATTCTTCTCCTACCACTGTGGCTTTTCCCCCATTCTGTATATCCACGGAAAATGCATATATTCTTGTATTTAAATAAATGTGTTGTAAAACAGCTGGATTGTACTGTATCATCTTGAGCACAGAGATGCTTCAGGTCAGTGGAATATAAATAGTTTGTTAGGTAAAACAAATTATTTATTGATAATTTATATTTACCTCTATGTTTTGTTGATGGTCCTAACAATTTTTGGACACAAGTCATTAGTGCATAGAGAAATACCTAAATTGTATTTGTTTCATTTATTTGATTATATTGCTGCCAGTAGACCTTTGCTGTATTTTTTCCCCCTGTCCTTTAGGAGAATTGATATTTCTTTGGAAGAGCTTCAGAGCAAATCTCTTCGCAAAACAGAGGACATTGCCCCAGTAAGTATTCATGATATATTCAGCATCTATGTAAAGGAGCACACCACAAGTGATCTTTTACAGAGCCTTCAGTATCTCCTTTTCTCTTCTGGTTTCTCTCCAGTTATATTTATTAATTCCATTAAAGTGGTAACATTCCACACACAGTGATATTTACATATATTTATGTCCTTTATATATGAACACTTCTGAAATGCAGGCAGTATATGCATTTGTTTTTTTCACTTTCTATCAGTCTTATGGAAATATTAGATTTTATAGGTCTTCACATGAGCAGTACAGTGCATCCAGAAAGTATTCACAGCACTTAACTTTTGCCACATTTTGTTATGTTACAGCCTTATTCCAAAATGGATTAAATTATTTTTTTTCCTTAACATTCCACAAACAATACCCCATAACGACAACATGAAAGAAGTTAGTTTTGAAATCTTTGCAATTTATTAAAAATAGAAAACGAAAAAAAATACATGTACATAAGTATTTACAGCCTTTGCTCTATACTTTGTTGAAGCTCTTTTAGCACCAATTACAGCCTCAAGTCGTTTTGAGTATGATGCTACATGCTTGGCACATCTATTTTTGGGCAATTTCTCCCATTCTTCTTTGCAGTACCTCTCAAGCTCCATCAGGTTGGATGGGGAGTATCGGTGGACAGCCATTTTCAGATCCCCCCAGAGATGTTAAATCGGGTTCAAGTCTGGGCTCTGGCTAGGCCACTCCAGGACATTCACAGAGTTGCCCCATAGCCACTCCTTTGTTATGTGGGCTGTGTGCTTAGGGTCGCTGTCTTGTTGAAAGATGAACCGTCGCCCCAGTCTGAGGTCCAGAGTGCTCTGGAACAGGTTTTCATCAAGGATGTCTCTGTACTTTGCTGCATTCTTCTTTCCTTCGATCCTGACTAGTCTCCCAGTTCCTGCCACTGAAAAAACATCCCCACAGCATGATGCTGCCACCCACCATGCTTTACTGTAGGGATGGTATTGGCCAGGTGGTGAGCCGTGCCTGGTTTCCTCCAGACATGAAGTTTGGCATTCAGGCCAAAGAGTTCAATCTTTGTTTTTCATCAGACCAGAGAGTTTTGTTTCTCATGGTCTGAGAGTTCCTCGGGTGCCTTTTGGCAAACTCCAGGCGGGCTGCCATTTGCCTTTTACTGAGGAGTGGTTTCCGTCTGGTCACTCTACCATTACAGGCCTTATTGGTGTAGTGCTGCAGAAATGGTTGTTCTTCTGGAAGGTTCTCTCTCCACAGAGAAACGCTGGAGCTCTTTCAGAGTGACCATCGGGTGCTTGATTACCTCACTGGCTAAGGCCCTTCTCCCTCAATCGCTCATTTTGGCCGGGTGGCCCACTCTAGGAAGTTTCCTGGTGGTTCCAAACTTCTTCCATTTACAGATGATGGAGGCCACTCTGCTCATTGGAACCTTCAATGCTGCAGAACGTTTTCTGTACCCTTCCCCAGATCTGTGCCTTGATGCAATCCTGCCTCGGAGGTCTACGGACAATTCCTTGGACTTCATGGCTTGGTTTGTGCCCTGACATGCACTGTTAACTGTGGAACCTTATATAGACAGGTTTATGCCTTTTCATAATCATGTCCAATCAACTGAATTTCCCACAAGTGGACTCCAATCAAGTTGTGGAAATATCTCAAGGAGAATCAGTGGGAACAGGATGCACCAGAACTCAATTTTGAGTGTCATGGCAAAGGCTGTGAATTCTTATGTAGATGTGTTTTGGTTTTTTTTTTTCATTTTTTATTTTTTAATAAATTGCAAAGATTTCAAAATGAACAAAATGAATGAAAATTCTTTCACATTGTCATTATACGGTATTGTTTGTAGAATGTTGGGGAAAAAATTAATTAAATCTATTTTGGAATAAGGCTGTAACACAACAAAATGTGGCAAAAGTTATCGCTGTGAATACTTTCTGGATGCACTGTATATCTGTATTGTTACTGCCTCAATCTTCCACCAAAAGCTACCATGGTAGCTGGAGGGGGTGGTACACATAGCACAGAAAATTTAACATGGCTTGTCCAATTTTACAGGTCTGCACTGCAGATGCTTGGTTTGTGCTTGTAGTGCAATATTTCAATCCAAAAACAACTTTGGTATTGAAACAAAGAACATGCATTCGGGAGGTGGCAGGATTGCCTAGAAGCTTAGAGGCCACTGTTTTATAATCACGATATTGACAATTCTATATAGTAGCGGAGATTATCGGTTTATTAGCATTCAGCTCAGCAGTGATGGTAGAGAGTGCACAGTGCATGTGTAGGGATTTGAAAGAGAAATACACATTTGTGCTAGTGATGCTGGAGGCTAGCAACTTATGGCTGCAGCGTCCTAGTAATAGGACAGGATAGGGAACAGATACCTATAGGAGTTTTTTGGGCTAGCTTCTCTGGAAGTGGGTGAAAATAGTCTTTGGGTATTGTATTTACATTATTCAATATTTTTCAAAAGTGGCACAGTTTTTGATTACCACTAGAGATGAGCGAATCGAACCAGGCGAAGTGGAATTCGATTCGAATTTCAGGAAAAATTAGATTCGCGTCGTCGAATCCGAATATTAGCCTACTTCGGGTGCGCGAATCGAATTTTTCCCGATCAGCCGGCAAAAGTGTCCCTGCAGAGAGCTCCGCTATTTCTGACAGTTCTCTGACAGTTCCTTCACATGTACAGCGCGGTTGAAACATTGTATCTATTTGTTTCCATTTAGGATACAGATGTTTTTATTCGGAAACAGATACAATGTTTCAACCGCTGTAAATGTGAAAGTCAGAGAACTGTCAGAAATAGAGGACTCTGCAGATACACTTTTTGCCGGTTTGGAATTATTCTTATTTTCATCCTACTTCTTCTTCTTCTTCTTCATCCTCATCCTCAGAAGAAGAAAGAAGAGGAATGAGGATGAAGAAGAAGAAGAAGAAGTAGGATGAAAATAAGAAGAATTCCAAGCCGGCAAAAAGTGTATCTGCAGTTGGAATTCTTCTTATTTTCATCCTACGTTCTTCTTCTTCTTCTTCTCTTCATCCTCATCCTCATCCTCTTCTTCTTCTTCTGAGGATGAGGATGAAGAAGAAGAAGAAGGCTTGGAATTCTTCTTATTATTTTCATCCTATTTCTTCTTCTTCTTCCTCTTCATCCTCATCCTCTTCTTCTTCTTTCTTCTGAGGATGAAGAAGAAGAAGTAGGATGAAAATAAGAAGAATTCCTAGCCGGCAAAAAGTGTATCTGCAGAGCTCCTCTAAGTGTATCTGCAGAATAGAGGAGCTCTGCAGATACACTTTTTGCCGGCTTGGAATTCTTCTTATTTTCATCCTACTTCTTCTTCTTCTTCCTCTTCATCCTCATCCTCTTCTTCTTCTTCTGAGGATGAGGATGAAAAGAAGAAGAAGAAGTAGGATGAAAATAAGAAGAATTCCAAGCCGGCAAAAAGTTTATCTGCAGAGCTTGCCGGCTTGGAATTCTTCTTATTTTCATCCTACTTCTTCTTCTTCTTCTTCTTCTTCATCCTCATCCTCAGAAGAAAGAAGAAGAGGATGAAGAAGAAGAAGAAGTAGGATGAAAATAAGAAGAATTCCAAGCCGGCAAAAAGTGTATCTGCAGAGCTCCGCTAAGTGTATCTGCAGAGCTCCGCTATTTCTGACAGTTCTGTGACATTCCCTCCATACAGCGGTTGAAACATTGTATCTATTTGTTTCCATAAATGGAAACAAAATAGATACAATTGTTTCAACCGCTGTATGGAGGGAATGTCACAGAACTGTCAGAAATAGGCTATTTCTGACAGTTCTGTGACATTCCCTCCATACAGCGGTTGAAACCGCTGTATGGAGTGAATGTCACAGAACTGTCAGAATTAGGCTATTTCTGACAGTTCTGTGACATTCCCTCCATACAGCGGTTGAAACTCCTTCTTCTCATCCTTCTCCTTCTCCTTCTTCTCATCCTTCTCCTTTCTCATCCTTCTCCTTCTTCTCATCCTTCTCCATCTTCTCATCCTTCTCCATCTTCTCATCCTTCTCATCCTTCTCCTTCTTCTCATCCTTCTCCTTCTTCTCATCCTTCTCATCCTTCTCATCCTTCTCCTTCTTCTCATCCTTCTTCTCATCCTTCTCCTTCTTCTCATCCTTCTCCTTCTTCTCATCCTTCTCCTTCTTCTCATCCTTCTCCTTCTTCTCATCCTTCTCCTTCTTCTCATCCTTCTTCTCATCCTTCTCCTTCTTCTCATCCTTCTTCTTCTCATCCTTCTCCTTCTTCTCATCCTTCTCCTTCTCCTTCTTCTCATCCTTCTCCTTCTCCTTCTTCTCATCCTTCTCCTTCTTCTCATCCTTCTCCTTCTTCTCATCCTTCTCCTTCTCCTTCTTCTCATCCTTCTCCTTCTTCTCATCCTTCTCCTTCTTCTCATCCTTCTTCTCCTTCTCCTTCTTCTCATCCTTCTCCTTCTTCTCCTTCTCCTTCTTTGTCCTTCCTCATCTCCAAGGGCATTTAAATTAAAGGTACAGTGTTCTGCACTAATTTAAAGGCTTTAAACCCTTTTAATAAGTTAAATTCGTAGCGAATTAATTCGCATCTAATCAAATTTCTTCCTCAAATTCGGCGAATCAGCCGAATCGAATTTTTGAATAATTCGCTCATCTCTAATTACCACCTTGTGCCTCTTTGGCTGCATATGCTAATTTCTCTAAAAGGTGAACTTAACCTTTAAGCAACAATACATTGTCCTCATTTATCAAAGAGCAACAGAAACTCTCCAAATCACCCATCGCAGTCTGTGCGGTATGAAAGAAAAGCAGGAAAAAACATATAAGTAATGTATGACAGTTATTGTTCCATATACTTTTCTTGCAGTCCAGAGCTGGTACAGCTTTATATGAATTTTACACCAAAAATAAATGTCAACACATGTAATGCTTTAGAATAGAAATGCAAAGAAGACAGTTTTGCTGCACATATTGAATAGTCCACGCTAGTTTACCTTTGTCATAAA